AGAGAGAGAGAGAGAGAGAGAGAGAGAGAGAGAGAGAGAGAGAGAGAGAGAGAGAGACGAATGATAGGAATTGTGACCCGGGTTTAGGTTTCACCTCCCAGCGGGAAACGGGAACATGTCAGATGGTTATCCCAATTAGCGCGTGTGCCAAATGCCGGAGATGCATGAGAGATTAGAATAGGAAACGAGAAAAAACTAGAAGGAAGGAAAGTTCAAGTAGAGAAGCTACGAGAATAAGGTAGGTGCATGCAAGTGGTATCGACGCAGAAAAAGAAAGAGTGAGAGCGTGGAAGAATTTAATGATAAATGGAGCTGGAGAGAGAAAGAGACTTTAAACGAACGAGAAAGCGAAAGAGAATGGGAAAGATGAGAAGGAAAGAAAGAAAGAGTTCTAACCTCCGTCCACCGTTTCAAAATCTCAAATTTACGTTTAGTGTTTCCGCTATCTCACTTTCGCACACAAACGCTTGCTACGCGCGCAGACGGTGTTATTCTTTCGTTAATCCTACTCCGCCCTGCCACTCTCGTAGCTCCCCGGTCCGCTGACCGCTCAGTTTTTACAATCATTCTTCCATTCTCTCTGGTTTTGTACACTTTTCCCTCACCGTTCAATTCGTCCCCTGGCTGTCTAATCAGAATCTTCAAAAACTCCTCTGCGCAGATACAAATCTTTTTTGGCAGTGTAGATTTCCTTTTAAATGTAAATTATGGTGCGTTCTGATAAACGAGGGTTAGCTGTGCGGGGTGCTTATCCATAATTCATAAGCCAATTCCGTACACGGGGTAAGAAAGGCTTTCCCATAGTGTCGCATGAATCATACTACTGCCACACACACACACACACACACGCACACACACACACACACACACACGCACACACGCACGCACACACGCACGCACGCACGCACGCACACACACACGCACACACCCGCACACACGCACGCACACACACGCACACACGCACGCACACACGCACGCACACACGCGCGCTCGCAGGCACATGGGCGCATTTATGCACGCACGCCCGACTGCACGCGTTATCACACTCACGAAAAGCACACGTACACACACACGCACACGCACACGCAAACACACACACTACCCCCCCCACCCCACACACACACACACCACACGGTGTTATACTATTACAAACCTTTATGTTGAAGGCCGGGTTCTCTCCGTGTACCACTGGTATCGTTTACGCTTGCCGTCAAGTGCGTTCGCCGCTGATTGAGCTAATCATACTCCGCCACCTTCAAGTAGAAACAAGTATAATTAACGTTACCACGTCGAACACAGCAGGTGCCGCCCTCAAAAACTCGAAAAAACGTTCGAGCTAATAATATTTCTACTATCTATACCTCTTATTTCTGCGCGACTGTGTTGTTTTTGGCTCCACCAACCAACAAACTAACTAACTAACTAACTAATTAACGAACTATATATATATCTATATATATATATATATATATATATATCGTGAAATTCTATATACGAATTTCCGTCGGGCACGCGTGAGCTGTTTGCGCGCCATGGCTGCACTTCCGTTTCCGTTCTCCGACAGAATCCTATTGCGATTAACGCTTGTGTGTTGAACGTGTTATGTAGCACATCACTATATTATACGATTCCCTCAAGCTTCGTCAGGTCAGTATTAATGACCTATCGTCATTGCAGTGGCTGCAGTGGATACCGCGCGCAAGCCACCTTAGCAACGTTAGAACAAATGCAGGCGCGCAAAAGCTTCACGACCCAAAATACACCGAGGTTCTGACTTATGCTAAAGGGGTCGTTGTCGTATATGTAGTACCCGAGGGGTCGGCGAGTATGTCGCCTACGCCTACTCCCTAACCCTAACCTTAACCCTAAACCTATCCCTAACACCCTAACCCTAACCCTATCCCTAACACCCTAACTCTAACCCTAACCCTATCCCTAACACCCTAACCCTAACCCTAACCATATCAAATAGTTACCTCGGGTACATATTATACGCCATTATACGACAACGACCCTTCGTGCCTTACTTATCTATACGTGATGGGTAATGTCGGATAATGTGTCGATGAAGGACGGTAATCGTGCTGCTGTATTCTAGTAATGAAGGCTTATTGAATCGTAAAACATCACATCAATACGTGGACGACGTAGGTCACTACTTGCGATGAGCGATCGAAGCGCCCTCTACGCTTACGGATTATTTTTATTACGAAGGCTTAATTATTTATGCGCAATGTTTACTGTATGTTAGTTAGTTTACGGAGATTGCTATCCTTAAAAATAGCATTTGTTTATATTTTTTTCTACAACTTGGTGATGGATGAACATGATGATTTGCTAGGCAATACGATGCTAGTTGCAATTGACAGAAATACACGTTTGCGTTTTTGCTATACTACATGCCAAGAGCTATGCACACGCACGCGTACACACAGCGTTATGGAGGCCTACACGTTACATATAGAGATAGATTGATGGATAGATAGATGAAGAGAGAGACAGACAGAGCGAGAGAGAGAGAGAGAAGGGGGGAGATCGAGTAGCCCAGCGGTAGAGAGTGTAACTGAGAGTCGTGAGACTAAGAGAGATGAGAGGAAATTTAAGGGACAAAAAAAGACAGAGCGAGTGTAACTGAAAGAGAGAGACGATATTTAGTCAGAGAAACAAGTTTTTGATGAGGCGAGAAGTGACTGGGAAAGAAGATTGCGAAAGTGGAGAAAGACAAAGATGTGAAAATAAAACCACAGACAGAAAAAAGAGAGGAAGGGGGATACCGAGCCTGAGACAGAGCGCGAGCGAGCGAGAGAGAGACGGTTTGTGTGTGAGTGAGGCCGCGCAAATAAGATCAGGTGCCACTTGTGTGAATTAATTGATGATACTTAGTACGTGCGTACGCCTTATAGGCGAAGGACACACAGCTTGGTTTGTTTCTGTGTGTGTGTGTGTGTGTGTTCATGGACAGGGGTGCGTGCGTGCCTTCGTGCGTTCGTGTGTCTGTGTGCGTGCGTGCCTTCGTGCGTGCGTGCGTGCACGTGTGCGTGTACGTGCGCGTGTGTGCGCGTCGGTGTGTGTGCGCGCGCGCGTGTGCGTGTGCGTGTGCGTGCGTGTGTGTCGGTATGTGGGTGTGTGAACGTGCGTGCATGCGTGTGCTTCTGTGTGCGCGTGCGTGTGTGTCTATGTATGTTTCGTTCGTACACGTGTCTATAGGACTGAGGCGACCGTACCATCACACTACGACCGGCTGGCAGCACTGCTGTGACATGGCCGTAGGTAACAGCTGTGTCTGCGGCACACGCGAGACACAATCAGTCGTTACTGACTACGTACTATCAGGAGTGTATCAATATCCTATTGATACACTCCTGGTACTATCACCAATACTCACGTCAACGGCTCACGCTGTCCTTCGACACATTGCTAGCATATGAAACGTTTTCGAATTGCCCGGCTGTGAATTTCGCATCGTGAGTAATTGAAAGCCAATAAATTGAACCTCGCAATAAAGGGACGACGCGCGCATGCATACTGTGAGGACTAACAAGAGTGTGAGACGCGAGGTAGCGTGAGAGAGAGAGAGAGAGAGAGAGAGAGCAACGATCGAAGAGTGCGAGAGAGAGATAGAGCGAGAGACAGAGAAGCGA